CTGGGATTACAGGCATGAGCCATCATGCCCAGCCGAAATTTGCTTTTTTAGTTGTGTCTCTGCCAGGTTTTGGTATCAGTATGATGTTGGTCTCATAAAATGAGTTTGGGAGAATTCCTCTCTTTCTGTTGTTTGGAGTAGTTTTATAAGGAATGGTACCAGGTCCTCTTTGTACCTCTGGTAGAATTTGGCTGTGAACCTGTCTGGTCCTGAAATTTTTTTTGGTTGGTAGGCTATTAATTGCTGCCTCAATTTCAGACCTTGTTATTGGTCTATTCAGAGATTCAACTTCTTCCTGGTTTAGTCTTGGGAGGGTGAAAATGTCCAGGAATTTATCCATTTCTTCTTGATTGTCTGGTTTATTTGCATAGAGGTGTTTGTAGTATTCTCTGATGGTAGTTTGTATTTCTGTGTAATCAGTGATGATATCTGCTTTATCATTTTTTACTGCATCTATATGATTTTTCTGTCTTTTCTTCTTTATAATTCTGGCTAGTGGTCTATCTATTTTGTTGATTTTTTCAAAAAATCAGCTTCTGGATTCACTGATTTTTTGAAGGGTTTTGTGTGTCTCTATCTCCAGTTCTGCTCTGATCTTAGTTATTTCTTGTCTTCTGCTAGCTTTTGAATTTGTTTGTTCTTACTCCTCTAGTTCTTTTAATCAGGATGTTACGGTTCTGATTTGAGATCTTTCCTCCTTTCTCTTGCAGACATTTAGTGCTTTACATTTCCCTCTACTCAATGCTTTAATTGTGTCCCAGGGATTCTGGTACATTGTGTCTTTTTTCTCATTAATTTCAAAGAACATCTTTATTTCTGCCTTCATTCTATTATTTATCCAGTAGTCCTTCAGGAGTAGGTTGTTCAGTTTCCATGTAGTTGTGCGGTTTTGAGTGAGTTTTTTAATACTGACTTCCAATTTGATTGCACTGTGGTCTGAGAGATTGTTATGATTTCCATTCTTTTGCATTTGCTGAGGGGTGTTTTACTTCCAATTATGTGGTTAATTTTAGAATAAAAATGATGTGGTACTGAGAAGAATGTATATTCTGTGGATTTGGGGTGGAGAATTCTGTAGATGTCTATTAGGTTTGCTTGGCCCAGAGCTAGTTCAAGTCCTAGATATCTTTGTTAATTTTCTATCTTGTTGATCTGTCTAATATTGACAGTGGGGTGTTAAAGTCTCCCACTGTTATTGTGTGGGAGTCTAAGTCTCTTTGTAGGTCTTTAAGAACTTGTTTTATGTATCTGGGTGTTCCTGTATTGAGTACATATATATTTAGGATAGTTAGCTCTTCTTGTTGCATTGATCCTTTTACCATTATGTAATGCCCTTCTTTGTCTCTTTTGATCTTTGTTGGTTTAAAGTCTGTTTTATCAGAGACTAGGATTGCAACCCCTGCCTTTTTTTTTTTTTTTTTTTTTTTTTTGCTTTCTATGTGCTTGGTAAATCTTCCTCCATCCCTTTATTTTGAGCCTATATGTGTCTTTGCATGTGAGATGGGTCTCCTGAATACAGCACACCATTGGTTCTTGACTCTTACTTTAATTTGCCACTCTGTGTCTTTTAATTGGGGCATTTAGTCCATTTATATTTAAGGTTAATATTGTTATGTTTGAATTTGATCCTGGCATTATGATGCTAGTTGGTTGTTTTGCCCATTAGTTGATGCAGTTTCTTCATAGCATCAATGGTCTTTACAATTTGTTATGTTTTTGCAGTGGCTGGTACAGGTTGTTTCTTTCCATGTTTAGTGCTTCCTTCAGGAGCTCTCGTAAGGCAAGCAGTTGCTTGTCCACAAGGATTTTATTTCTCCTTCACTTATATAAAAGCTTAGTTAGGCTTGGTATGAAATTCTGGTTTGAAACTACGTTTCTTTAAGAATGTTGAATATTGGCCCCCACTCTCTTCTGGCTTGTAGGGTTTCTGCAGAGAGTTCCACTGTGAATCTGATGGGCTTCTCTTTGTGGGTGACCCAACCTTTCTCTTTCTTCTCTTAGCGTTTTTTCCTTCATTTCAACCCTGGTGAATCTGATGATTATGTGTCTTGGGGTTGCTCTTCTTGAGGGGTATCTTTGTGGTGTTCTCTGTGTTTCCTGAATTTGAATGTTGGCCTGCCTTCCTAGGTTGCAGAAGTTCTCCTGGATAGTATCCTGAAGAGTGTGTTCCAACTTATTTTCATTCTCCCTGTCACTTTCAGGTACACCAATCAAACGTAGATTTGGTCTTTTCACATAATCCCATATTTCTTAGAGGCTTTGTTCATTTCATTTTCACTCTTTTTTCTCTAATCTTGTCTTCTCACTTTATTTATTTATTTATTTTTGTAACGAAGTCTGTCTCATGTCTCCCAGGCTGAAGAGCAATGGCACAATCTCAGCTCACTGCAACCTCCACCTCCTGGCTTCAAGCAATTCTCCTGTCTCAGCCTCCCAAGTAGCTTGGTTTACAGATGGCTGCTGCCATGCCCAGCTAATTTTTGTATTTTTAGTAGAGACAGAGTTTCACCATGTTGGCTAGGCTGGTCTCAAACTCCTGACCTCAGGTGATCTGCCTGCTCAGCCGGCCAAAGTACTGGGATTATAGGCAAGGGCCACTGTGCCCAGCCTCCTCACTTTATTTCATTGAGTTGATCTTCAATCTTTGATATCCTTTCTTCCACTTGATCAATTTGGCTATTCAAACTTGTATGTGCTTCATGAAGTTCTCCTGCTGTGTCTTTCAGCTCCATTGGTTTGTTTATGTTCTTTACACTGGTTATTCTGGTTAGCATTTTGTCTAACCTCTTTTCAAGGTTCTTAGCTTCCTTGCATTGGGTTAGAACATGCTCCTTTGGCTCATGTATGTTTGTTATTACTTACCTTCTGAAGCCTGCTTCTGTTAATTTGTCAAACTCATTATCTGTTGTTGAAAATGCTGAGTGTATGATTGCTGAGAAGTGTAGAGTGTATGATAGAATATACTGTTTGCTAAGAAGAATGATGGCAAGGAAATCCTAGCTGTCCCAACCCCCTTGCCCAGTGGAAAACTCTCTAGGGCATTCTAAAGTAGCAAGACAGTATATGTATATCATACACCAGTTAAAACAATTCTTTAAGCATGCGATATGTGATCCTGCCCGCATGGCTCCCTCATGGAGAATGCTTTTTGTTTTGTCTGTGATCAGTGGTAAGCAGGCACCAGCTGCCTACCCAGTTTACTTTTGTTCTATGAGAAATACCAAACATCTGTTTGTTAAGAATGATTACCTATTCAGAGAGAATAAATATGTGAGTCAGAGTCTGTTTGAGGCCCTCAGCCCAGAATGCTGTCAACCCCCTGAGGCTCTCAGCTTGGAAGGCTGTTGGCCCCCCTAGATAGTCCCACTTTGTTATTCTGTCTGGGTGTCTGCTTCCCAATTCCTTCAGTGCCACCTGGGTGGGGGACTCTAAGGCCAAGGTTGTTCTTGTTACTCCATTCAGTTTTGTTCCCTTGCTGGTGAGGAGTTGTGATCCCTTGGAGGAGAAGAGGTGTTCTGGTTTTTGGAACTTTCAGCCTTTTTGTGCTGCTTTCTTCCCATCTTCCTGGATTTATCTACCTTTGGTCTTTGAAGTTGGTGACCTTTGAATGGGGTCTCTGTGTGGACGTCCTCTCTGTTGATGTTGAAACTATTTCTGTTTGTTAGTTTTCCTTCTAACAGTTGGGCCCCTCTCCTGCAGGCCTGCTGGAGTTTGCTGGAGGTCCACTCCAGAGTTTGCTTGCCTGGGAGTAGAGATGGGATTTCACCATGTTGGCCAGACTGGTCTTGAGCTTCTCATCTCAAGTGATCCACCTGCCTGGGTCTCCCAGAGTGCTGGGATTACAGGCATGAGCAACTGCCCTGGCCAGCAATGTGATGATTTGATTACTGTTTTCTACCTGTTGAAGATTATAATCTTAGAATTCCTCAGCCAAGAATAAAAAAATTTTACCATCACAGCTACCTTGCCCCCAGACAGCAATTCCCATGCTTAACTAGACTTCCATCATCTGGGCCCTTCCCATCCCACACCTCATTCAAATTTCTACTCAGGTCACACTGGTGCCATTTTGAACTTGTGTGAATTTTTATTCCTGTGTTTAAAAAAATTAATTTAAAATATTTATAAATTGGAAACAAAACCGCATGTACTTGCTGCCTACATAGCCCATTTGTAGGATGCTAATTTTTGTTTCAAAAGATCTTTTTTGGGGTGGCCAATACAATTGGCAATCTATAGATATTCTAAAATTCAGCTTCATGATTTTAAGTCCACTGTGAGGTTCTATTGTCGTTCAACAGCCAAGATATACTGAGCACCTATTATAGGCTAGGCACACTACCATGTGTTAAGAATATGCAAAGGTATAAATACATAAGAGTGATAATGTAGAAGTGTGAGAAAGAGTGACCAATATTCCTGAAGAAAGAAATATTTTGTCTAGGGTCTAGAAGGGGAAGGCCAGATGATGAAAGGGGCCAGATGGTATATTGCAACTTTTTTTTCCAGAGTCTATAGCAGGAAAGTATGTAACTAGAATTGGTTAGTGTGACCCCTCAAGTAGCAAGTGAAAGAAAACAAAAGTCAAATGCAAAAAAAAAAAAAAAAAAAATTGGATTATTTAAAAATAACAGCCAAGAGAAAAGGTGGGAGTAAAAAAATAGTTGGCAAGTAGTCTGCGGGGCTAGAATAAAATGCTAAAAAAAAAAAAAAAAATGCTGAGACCAGATCAATATCGTCTCTGAGGGTCCTTCCAGAATGTATAGGTTTATGCTGTAGGCAAATGAGAACTTTTACAGTTTTTAAGCAGGTTAGTTACAATCAGGTCTTTAATACTTCATGTCATTCTGACTTACTATGTAAATATCTAGCTCACCTTAATGAATAGTGCTACTTAACAAAATTCTGCTACCAGAAATAAAAGATGCATTTTAGAATGTGATTTCCTCTTTGATCTTTTTTCCTTCATACCTTCTATTTTTGTTGTCATTGTTACTTACAGGACTTGTTTTCTCTTTTTTTCTTTTCTCCTTTGACTTTGGTTCTGTCATTTTCCTTTCCATTAAAAGTAGCATGAAACTTCCAAGATTCCTTGAATATTGCTAAAAGGCTGGGGCTTCATCTTGCAATTATGTCCTGGACATCACTGTCTTCGTAATTTGTAGGATGAAAATATGTATAGTTTTCCATGAATATCTTCACAGTCTATATAACATTTCAATGCATACATTAGACTTGTAATTAGGAATAGCAAAAAAAAAAATTCCTAAAATGTCTTCTTGTTAATGTGGTAATAATATTCAATATTATTTCTGACATTAATACCATGTCAAAAACTTCACAAATTTAAATAAGGCACAGTCTGTAAAATTATGGAATAGAAGTTAAATTTCTTTTCTCTACTAGCCTAAAACAATTCTATTAATTTAAGAGAATATCATGGAAAGAATAGATTTTTAGTTAATAAGTTTTTAGTAAACCCATCCTCTTGATGTAGGTTAATAAGAAAATTGGCTCTTTATCTGTTTTTGTTACCTAACTTTCCTGTGTTTTTTTCTAGTACAGAAAGAAATAGTTGCTGTATATTTCTTCCTGAGGCACATACTGTAAATATACTGTGAGTCAGGAAAAACACTGAAAATTCCAAGGTTGGCAAATCGTCATAGAAGGAAAAAGTCATCAGGAACATGAGACTCTAAAGAAACAGATGTAGGAATTATTTTTATAAGTTTTGTTACAGAATTTTTTCCTCATTTTCTAGTTTTAGGAACTATGTAGGTGTATGGATTGGGATGGTTCAGAAAAAAAGATGCCCCAGCTTTAGACATTTTTAAGAATTCAAAAAACAATATTAATATGACAGTGTATTCAAATGTGACTTCAAAGGGATTAATTTATTATCAAGCCCTGCATAATCTGGCAGCATATAAAAATGTAGGTATGATATCTGCTTTTATTAAGAAAAATTGGAACAATGTTGACAGCAAAACAGAGTAAAATCGTTTTAACATTTCTACTTCAGTTTTTTTTTTTTTTAAAGCAAGACAAGGTCTTGTTCTGTTGCCCAGGCCATGGCCTGATCGTTGCTCACTGCAGCCTCAAACTCCTGGGGTCAATCAGTCCTCCTTCCTCAGTCTCCTGAGTAGCTAGGACTACAAGCATGTGCCACTACACCCAACTAATTTTCAAATTGTCTTAGAGAAGGGATCTCTCTAAGTTGCCCAAGCTGGTCTCCAACTCCTGGCCTCCAGGGTTCCTCCCATCTTGGCCTCCCAAGGAGACTTTTTTCTTTTTAAAAACAGAGCCACAGCTTAGCTACTTCAGATGTTTTCATTGTTTATGGCTTGTTTCTGTTTCAATTGAGGAGTTCTATTTTTCTTTAGCTAACATATTAGACAAAATTAAATTGCTACAGAATTAAAATGTCTACATATTTCTTCCCATATATAATCACAGTTGGTTTATGTAAAATCGAATAAAAAGATGAGCAGAAAATATAGTAGATATGAGAGTAATTTGATATGTATTTTAATTGTGAGGTTATCACTGACATATTATATACCAAAATGAATAATCAGAAATATATTAATTCAGGCTGAGTGCAGGTGACTCATCCATGCAATCCTAGCACATTGGGAAGCTGAGGCAGGTGGATCACTTGGGGTCAGGAGTTCAAGAGCAGCCTGGCCAACATTGTGAAACTCCATCTTTACTAACAATACAAAAATTATCTGGGTGTTGGTGGCATGCACCTGTAATTCCAGCTACTTGGGAGGCTGAGGCATGAGAATCCCTTGAATCCAGGAGGTGGAGGTTGCTGTGAGCTGCTATCTTGCCACTGCACTCCAGCCTGGGTGACAGAGTGAGGCTTTGTCTCAAACAAACAGACTATATATATATGTGTGTATATACATATACACATATGTAATATATTTTGAGATAAAGTCTCACTGTCGCCAGGCTGGAGTGCAGTGGCATGATCTTGGCTCACTGCAACCTCTACCTCCTGGGTTCAAGTGATTCTCCTCCCTCAGTCTCCTGAGTAGCTAGGACTACAGGCATGCACTACCATGCCCAGTGAATTTTTGTATTTTTAATAGAGACGGGATTTCATCATGTTGGCCAGGATGGTCTTGATTTCTTGACCTTGTAATCTGCCCACCTCGGCCTCCCAAAGTGCTGGGATTACAGGTGTGAGCCACCATGCCCGGACCAAGAAATATATTAATTCATATTAATTAATGTTAATTAATATCCATATTAACATGACTAACAGTATATAAATCATGTAAAATTATATTTGTATTTATATTTGTGTTAATATGAAAATTACTCATAGTGTGATAAATACAAAATCATAAAGTAGAAAGGAGTCTTAGAATTTTTGAGTCTGTCCTTGAACCTACAGTAGGCACAAACTCCTTCCACAACAGCCCATCTCTGCCTTTGCTAAATGCTTCTGTGAGGGAGGTCTTGCTACCTTATGATGCAACCCACAGCACAACATGCAAAAATCTGCTTTTGAGCTGAAAGCACCCATTTCTAGCTAGCAGAACATTGGGGGAGAGTAGTAAAAGTCAGGGTTAAGATCCCAACTTGGCAAAAGGTCTAGCCAAAGTGATTAAGCACTGACCCAGACAGGAGAATTTTAAAAGCCAAGAACTACATTGCTTCTCAAGTCTCTGCCATCACCAGCTTCTTTCCCCCACAGTTAGCTTTCAGAAACTCTAAAATATGTTTAACAAAATATAGAGGACTCCAGTACCCTGCTTTTCCATATGTTCTAAGATCAAGCTCACATATTATCTTAGATTTAAAATGTTTAAGTATTTTTCTATAGTGTCTGTTCAGTGTCTACTTAAAAACATTCTCAGCCAGGTGCAGTGGCTCATGCCTGTAATCCTAGCACTTTGGGAGGCAGAAGTGGGCAGATGGCCTGAGGTCAGGAGTTTGAGAAAAGCCTGGCCAAAATGGTAAAACCCCGTCTCTACTTAAAATACAAAAATTAGATGGGCGTGGTAGTGGGGAGCACCTGTAATCCCTTGGGAGGCTGAGACAGGAGAATCACTTGAACCCAGGAGGCAGAGGTTGCAGTAAGCAAAGATTGTGCCACTGCACTCCAGTCTGGGTGACAGAGTGAGACTCCACCTCAGAAAACAAAAAACGTTCTCATTGCTATAGAAGCAGTTTAGTGCACTGGTTAAGACTGAGGTGCTATAGCCAGATAACTGGTGTTTAAATCCTGCCTCTTTCAATTTCTAGCATGGCCTTGGAAATGTTATCTGACTTCTCTGTGCCTTACTTTCCTCATTTGTAAAATGGAATTAAAATAATACCTTATTATGAGGCCTCAGGTTGATAATAAATGTGAACTATTTAGTAATTTGCCTATATCATTGTAACCACCCCATAAATTTGGCTTTTATTGTGGAAGCTACACATTTCACTAACAGTTAGTCTATTAACAAGCAAAGATTTAAATATTCCATTTGTTGAGAGGCTTAACCACTTATTTTGTATGTGTAGAGTCAACATGCTGCAGTGGACAATAAGAAACCACAGCAGTACGAACACAAGAGCAAGAAAAAGATCTCTTCCTTATATTAGAAAATATTTCCTTCACCTGATTCCTAAAATACCATGCCTCAAAAGAGACAGACTTTTATTCCACAATTAGAGAGAAGTAGTTTAAAAGCACACATTCTAAAATGTTAGTTAACATTGTATGCCTTGATTTATGACACAATATTAATGGTGGTCATATCCTTTACAGTTTTGAGAGAAGAGGGGTAGAAAAGGAAAGTGGTAGGAGTGAGGATATCCATGAAGAGGACAGAGAAGGGGAGGTTGATAGCATAGAAGCAAGCTTTGTCCCCTGGTCTGTCCTATTTCCCTAATGATAAATTCCTCAACTAGTTCAATTCATGGGGCCTGGGCAAGTGTCTTTCTTAATGGGAAATAGGCCTGCAAGTATTTTGAGAGTCCTCATATACACTGCCCTGGTTTCCTCATTTAGAAGCAGAGGGGAAAAATATATCTTGCTTTTGCTAACATTTGTCATGCCACCCAATGAAACCCCTCTTTTCTATTCTTCTCTCTCCAGTGGTCTTTATTTACTTATTTATTTAGAGCTGGTGTGGATGTTTGCGGGGCGGAGGGGGGGGGTCTCACTATATTGCTCAGGCTGGTCTTGAACTCAAGGAATCTTCCCACCTCTGCCTCTGAGTATCTGTGACGACATGTTTGTGCCATCACATCTGGCTCTTATGGCCTTTAAAATCACCACAATCCCTGGTTACAATTACCAATATCTGAAGTGTCTTTGGACTTTTATAGTAATCTTGGTAGTCTTACACCATTGTCTTGGTTCAGGTTTTCCTTCTTTACATGACAGACTTAATTGGTTTTGTGCTTTCATTTCTCCCTCTCCAGGTACCTCTAAATGATCTCCTGAAAATCCCACTCTATCATTTGACTTTCTGGCTTACAAATCTCCAATACTTCTCCATTACCTAATAAGGACACAAATCAGTTTCATTAGTATGTTTGAGGTCATTTTTGAACCCTGCTTAGCCTAAGAGAGCCATCTGTTGCAACTTCTCCTCATCACTTGGATAGCAGCACTGAGATAACAGCTGTTCTCTATACACACCATGCTTTTTCGTAGTGTTCTTCTTGCTTAGAATGTTTTTTCTTTCTAAACTCCCTTTGATGTCTAAAGATGCTTCAGGACCCTTATAAAATGTGACTACTCCATGAAGGATTTCCTGACATTCCTAGACAGAATAGTTCATTTTCTGTGCTCCAATAATTGTGTGTTCATGCATAAATTAATATACTTCTCATAGAATGTTCTAATTTTTTTAAAGTATCTTGTTCCTTCTGTATTATGAGTTTCAAGAAGGAATGGAAAGAGTTTGTATCTCAAATACCAGGGCTTGCTTTGCCATAGGCACTCAAAAATGTTGACAGTTGAACAGCTTCTTTCCCAGACTTCCCACTCCTGCTTACAGAAATGCTACCATCTAAGGACCACCTCAAACACAGTCTCCCCTCTACCCCATTTTCTCCTTGTCTGTAAGTTGATTGAAGTGGAATCTGTATCTTCCCTATCCAGAGATGCCTGTATTCCCTGGATCAGTATCTTATACTCATCAGATTCTCTGAAGGATGTTTCCTGAATGGAGGAGTTAAGTCAAAGAAATATAATCCCTAGTGCAAGTTCTGAAAAGATATAGGCGATAATACCCCTAGCTCCAAAACATTCCCCATAATGTTTGATTTATTTCACTGCAGTTTATGAGGGCTGCAATTCTAAGGGAGAATATACAGCTTTCAAATAAAAACGATCAGTAATTCTCACAGTAGAAAGGATGGTCAATCAGATTTCTTTCCTCTTTGAACTTTCTTAAAGTTGATGAGCTATTGACAATGATCAAGACATTGTATTTTCTTTTTAGTTCTATGGATTTCTAGTAAATTCTCTAAGCTTTTCTATGTATATAGTCATAAGCTCTGTAATCAATTATAATTTGGTATCTTATTTTCAATATTTAGAACTCATATTTCTAAACTCATATATCATTTCTGATAATTTATTCTTTTTAATTATGTGATAGGTCATAATTCCTCGCATTTTTATTTTTGTGGCATAGAAATTATAATTACAGTGTCTTCAAGCACCCCCAATAAGAGGATGGAGATGAAGAAAAATTGGATTGAGGACCAGGAAGAAGGTAATTTAGGTAGTCAAATTCTTTTATAGTTTTGAAAAAAGGGAGGTGGAAAAAGGGAAGGGATGGGAGTGAGGGTGTCAGGGAAGACATGGGTTGAGAGTAAAATGAATGAATTCTGTCTTGGAATTCTTGGGGCAAGAAGAGGAGTACTGGCACTGGGACTGGAACAGTGGTAGAATAAGGAATGTCAGATGATGCCAATGACTAAATTCACCTGTTTTGGAAATTTTCTTTCACATACCTTTCTTCTTCCAGTTTGGCATCAGAAATCCCAATGCAGATATATCATGGGGCACAAAGACCTTTGTGGAGACCCTAGCATTGCTTTTATAAGAAACACATGTCCACATTTTCATTCACTTATCAATAAACATTGGGGGCAGTGCCTGCTCTAAGTGCAAGCTGCATAACATAAATGTATACAAAAATAATTTTTTTATTGATAATTGCAAAAAGATTACATTCAATGTTTAACTGAAAAAGATTTAATAGAAACAACTTAAGAAAAAGGAGAAGTTGAAAGAAAATAGGCTAAGAATTGAATAAAGAATAGAAATAAATAAAGCTACTTCACAGTGAAAAAGTGTAAAAAAAAAAGACTTAGATCACACACTTGGTGGTGACCAGAGAGGGATTGTCAATATGATGGAAGAAGAAAAAAGTTTTACAAAAGGAGAAAATAAGTAATGCTGGAGAGTGGCAGCTGAAAGGTATTGAAAGGAAAAGAGTATTTGGAATTCACTAGATATCTCCCTGGGAAAGAGACTTGGCAAAATGGCTGATTTTAAAACGGGTTAATTATTCTCCCCAAGTCTCCTGACTGTGAACCAGCCCACTTAGAAAGTGTTTCAGCACTCAAAGACTTCGCAAGGAGACCACAAAGTATAAGACGTTACATGCTTTTCCAAAAGAAACACGACTAACTGTAAACTGTCATCAAATACAAATGGAATGGGTTTTCTCTCTCTCTTTTTTTTTTTTTGGTTGTTGTTAGTTTTCGTTGAACGGTTTCAAAAATATGTAGAAGGGAAATATTTCATTTCCCTTGGAGGCTCAACTATATATATTTCAAGATTCTTAAAACTCCCACCTCAAACTGCGGGCATAATTTTGATGTGTTCATATTTTACGAGGTGTGTCAACATTTTATCAATTCCTGAAGAGTGTCTACGGCCCTGAAAAGTTTAAATCCACTTATATCATCTCTGCGAGCCCTTTCCAGCTCTCAAGGTACAATAATTACACGAATCTTTGTTCTTCAAACCAACAGGTTTTCTGGAAACTGTTAAACATAACCAGGACAGCACCCATGATGAAAATCTTGGGGATGCTCTGAGCAGCGGACGGGACTTGGGAAGCGCACCCCTCGACCCCGGCTGTCTCCATCCCGCACCCCGCAGTTCCCCAAGTTCGCTCAGCGCTCCGCACACAGACGGCGGCGCTGGGGCCGCTCCAAGTGCGTTGAGAAGTGTAATCCCTCCGCTAAGTACTTGGCTCTCAGTCTCCAATCACTAGTGGGAGCTGGAGAGGGCAAGTGAAAAAAAATTCCTGAGGCAGCCGAGGAGCGAGAGGAAAAAAAAAAAAGTCCCGCGGTGGCGGCGGCGGCGGCGGCGGAGCGGCCGGGGCGGCCAGAAGTTGACGGCGCGGCCGGGCGCGGGTCGCGGAGTCGGCGGGGCTTCGCGGGGCGCCGGGAAGAGCGGAGACCGCGGCGCCGAGGACGCCGGAGCCAGTAGCGCAGCCGCGGGTGAGGCGCGAGCCGCGGGGCCCCGTGCCCTGCGGGTGGCCCAGTTCTGAGAGCGCTGGGGCCGGCGGAGCCGGCGGGAGTCGGGCAGACCAAGGGGCGGCGCGGGACAGGCAGCGGCCGGGTGCGGGGCTGGGCGGCGGTTGCCCGGGGCAGGACAGAGCGCGCGAGGGCGAGGGCGAGGGCGAGGGCGAGGGCGAGGGCGAGGGTGAGGGCGAGGGCGGGCTGCGCGGCCGGGCGGGGGTCAGGCGGGGGCCGCCTCGGCTTTGTGCGCGGGCGGCTTTGCAGGGACCCCGAGGCCTCGTGCCCGCGCAGGCGAGCGGCGGCGGCGGGAGGGACACGTGCTCCGGAGCTGGGGCCGGAGGGACGCGCCGAGGCTGGGAGTCGGACCTGCGAGCTGAGGGCAGCCGCGGAATCCGGGAAATGGGAGGGAGCCCGGCGGGCGGTGGGGCGGGGGCCCAGGGCCAGCCCAGGCGGGACCCGCAGGCACCCAGCCCCGGGCCGAGCCACCTGCCCCGGACGCCTTCCGAGACCCACCCTTGCGCAGCGGGCTGGTCCCGGCACCTCGGACCGGGCTCCGTCTCTGCTGCTGTTGCCTGTCTCCCCCCGCCCCCGCTTGTCTGTCTGTCTCAAGCTCTGGGTCTTTCATTCTCACCCTCTTCTTCCTCTCTGCCTTCCTCTCATTATTGCTATCCTTTGCCTCTCCCCGCGGTCTCCCTCTCCCCACCGCCTGCTCTGGCTTTCCCAGTGTGTCCCTCGTCTGTCCCCACATCCTCTTCACTCTGTTACTCTCCCACACTGTTGATGCCTCTCTCTTTCTTAAGAAGCTTTCTGCTACGGGTCTCCCCAGCTCCCCGTCTCTTGCTCTCTACGCCCATCTCTCTGCTCGTCCCTCTTTCTGTCCGGGCTCCGAGTTTCCGCCTGTCTTTTGCTGTTGGAGAAGAGCCTCTCTGCTGCGGTGCGGGTCCTACTCCCTCAGAGCTGCACCCCTCCAGCGGGGTCCTGCTCTCTGTTCTAAGTGCAAACGCTGCAGTTTCCTTATTAGGAACTGCTCTTTTCTTAGCCACCTTTCCACCAAGGTGAGGTCTGTGACCACGAGCGGGCACAAAGGTGCCAGTGAAAGAAAACGGGGGAAGAAAGCCGTTTCATTGCCTCCAACAGATAATGTGTTAATGCTAAACCTATCTGCAGTGAAGCAGAGCCACCTGAGAAACGGTTCCCGTGTTCTGCAGAGAAACACAGAAGGCTCCACTGGAAGTGAGAGGGTTCAGCTGAAAAGTGTTTGAAAATAATTTGAAAAAGCACTTAGTAGAAATCTCTTGCTGTGCGAGATTGATGCCAACGAATCTCTATTTTCTTACTTATATTTTTAGGATTCCAGTGACAACTCTCCTAATTATTGTTTTGGGAAAGTTATGGGAAATATCCTGTGTCAACTGGGACCTTTGTGTGTAAGGAAATATTCAGTCTTTGTACTTCATACCTCTTTACACTCTGGTGATCAAGAAGAATTATTTCTAACTGTAAAGAAAATAGTAAAGGATTTGTCAGTGATTTTAAAACATGACACATTCCAGGGATCAATAATGTTTTTGGAAAAGTTTGATTATAAGGATGTTTTGAAGGATATTACATCTTAGTGAAATATGTAAGTTATTACACACTTAGATCATTGTGCCACACAAAAAAGTGTGTGTGTTGTAAGCAGATCTTAGTAGCAATGTCTTTTTTATGGGAAACATAGCTGGGAAATTAATTGCTCTGATTTTCACTGTTTTCTTTAGTCATGCATAATGTACCTTTGTGTTAAGCAAAATATGGCCTAGAGCTACAAAACTTGATACAGTGTGTTATTTGTCCAATCTGAATTACCAATTTGAAAAACCACCTTTTCTTTTCAGTTACATGATATAAGTTGATATGATCTCATTACTCATGTGCTAGAGGCCGCTGATGAATTTTAATGGCACTGATTTGTGTTTTTAAATCAAAATATTAGTTTTTGGTGAGTTAAAGTCTTGATTTATATCATGTTAGTGAATCATCACTATTTATAGGGGCTTTGCCACCTTGTCTGCCAGGTGCTGCCCAGCATTTAGGCCAGGTTGTCTAAAATTCCCTGTTAGATTATTGTCGCTAAGTGACGTGCTGCCATGGTCTGCTTATGTATGTTTCTCAAAATGTTCCAGTCGTTAAATAATATTTATTAAAAGGAAATTGACTTAAATTTTTCCTCATAAGCTTTGGGAACTCTGTGAGATGGCCTGATAAAGTATTTTTATTGCAGTAAATGCTGATTTATTATTATTTGTTTAAAAGTATAAGGCAGTTTAAAATGTGCTTATCTTTTGGCACATACAGCACCTCCTCCAGCTCTTTCTGAGCACTCAACTCATATTTATCATCCAAATCCAAAGTCAGTTGTCACCTACTCCGACCTAGCAGAGCCTTCCAGACTTTCAGAAGCCCCCTTACCTCTGCCTCTCCGGCTTCTGAGTGCCTCTCTTTTGGTGTCCACCTCTGTGCTATATGATTACTTGCTTGGTGCTTCCTTGTTTGACTGTTATCTCATTGAGGTGAGATAGTGTCCCTTCTTTTTCTCTGGATTTCAGATGTTCAGCAGAGTACCTGGTATATGATAGATACTCAAGAAATCCTTGTAGGACTGACTATTGGTTCTTTTACAATTTGCCTCTAACTTGTGATACTAATTCTTCGTAGATGTGGTTGCTCAAGGGAAATACTTTTAGAATAGTGTGATAGCAGATCATAGACTTAGGACTGAAAAAGTCTTAGCATGTCATCATGCACAATAATAATATTGAAGATGAAGATGAGGCCCAGAGAGTTTGAAATCCATGCTCAGAAATAGAAAGTGAGGCTAGAATGGCTATGGAATCCAGACTTTGCTTTCTTTCACAGTGCCACAGTTCTTTTCATTGGACTCTTGTTTGACTTCTTTCACTAGAAATGGGCAAATATGGCTATAATTAGAAGCTGGCAGTTGTACTCTAAACTCTGAAGATTTCTTTTCATGTCACCCTATAAAAGCCATGCATGAAATTTATCACTTTGCAATAATTGATAATCATTTCTGATGCATATAAGCATCAAGGTAATACTGATCTTTTAGAACCTTGACTCCTAAGTTGTTTTTATGTGCTAGGCATTGTTCTGTGTGATAACTGTGTTGGGCAGAATTATTATTTCTTACCTGCAAAGAATATTTAAGCTCTCTGGACTTACATTGTTTGCTCTGTAATTCTATGTGTGTGCGTGCGTGCGTGTGTGTGTAAGGGAGAAGAAGAAGTTTGGACCAGATTAGTAGTTCTTTTTGAAGTTTTCTTCAGAGACTACCAGTTTAACTCCCAGAACCACTGCAAATTCATCTGTTTTACATATCAGACTTCTGGGTAGCTTTTGTGTTTTAAAAAAAGCTAACAGCTTTAAAAAAGCTTGAAGACCACTTGTCCTCCAGTCTCTCTTCTGGTTCTTGAATTTCATAATCAAGATATTTCTAGCTTTTAAATTCGGGTATTTGGAGGATGGTTGGTAAAAGTATTAAGGACAGAAGGAAAAGCTGATTTTGGGTCAGAGATGCTATTAATAATTTCAGGTTTCCATATGCTGAATTTTATGTGATGGCAGAAAGTGAAGTAGAATTGTTGAGATATGTAGAGGCAGGCCAGAATTCAGGGAAAAGAGGGGGGTGGGTTGGGGCTAGAAAGGTAGATTAAAAAGTCACTTATATTGACTTAGTAATTTAAATTGAGTGAAAATAAAATATTTTAGGGCTAGGGTACAGAGAGAGAAATATGCCAAGATTTAGTAGACAAAAAGAATGCTTAGTTATGGGTATTTATGGGGCTCATCACAGTAACAAAGGATAATGTATAATTTATATCAGGCAATAATTTCTTTTCATATGTTTAGGACATCCACATACATGCCAATATTTTAATCTCATTCATTTTTACTTAAATGTGTGAGTGCCTGCTCTTTGCATGGCACTGTTAAACAGTGTGGGGACACTGCGACTAAAAGACACAGGATCCTTGCTGTCATTGAACTTCTAGAGAGTGAAAACACAATCAACTATAAGCAAATGCGTGAATAAGATTATTTCCAATAGTGAAATTTGCCATTAGGAAAACAAGACAGGGTGATATGACAGCATGTGATTGGGCTACTTTATATGAGGTGGTCAAGGAAGGACTCTGTAAGGATATTCTTGAGGAACAAAGAGCCAGCCCTGTGAAGATTTGAAAGAACTTCCTAGCAGAGGACACAGGAGGGTTGTCTCTAAGAGTAGCAAGCTAGGCACTCACTGGCCAGGGAGGCTGGACTCAGGCAATTGGAGGAAGTGGCAGTAATGAAGTCGGAGAGTTGGCCAGGTTCATAGCATAAAGGATGCATTTTATTCAAAGTAAATTCTATTGAACACCCTGGGGGATTTTAAACAGAGATGTGAACAAATAT